CTATTTCAATGTTAAGTGCTGTATCTGATTAGAATTGTTACTGGGACACCCAGTTTGGGTAAGGTAAGTAAAGAGTAAAACATTCACAAAATCCAAAAACCATATTTGCTTGGATCCCTGAAGGCCTTTTCTAAAAAGTCTTTGATCTCTACAGATTAATGAAGTGTCTTCTAGATCTAGTCCTTTTAATCTTTGAAAGGAGTGGCTTTCCCCATAGGGTAAAAGGCATATTGAGATATGAATTTGTCCTAAATGTTTTCTTTAGAGCCAGGCTTGTTTCAGAAAACTTTTGGAAATGTTCTGAGCTGCTCCTCTGTTTTTCAAATCATCTATTTACACATAGTAATCTATTTACACCTTCTACCCAGAGGACTAGAATGTATCAAAGTATGCACATATTTCTTAGTATTTATAATCCTTTAACATTAAGGAGCTCAATGATACTGATCTCATTTTTGAAATTATATTCTTTAGGAAATTGCCTTAAGTTAGTATAATGTAACTGTTCCTCCCATTTTTTAAAAGTATTAATCTTGTTAGATCATGTTTAAACAAGAAGGAGTAGTTTATAGCATTACCCAGTACTTCAAAGAATGATAAATATTACAGCGTAATATTCTGTAACAAAAAGAATTAAATTGATCCAAGTAATATAACTTGTTAAAAATAATGCAATTTTACAATAGTCATTTCTCAAATAAATGATAAATTACTCAATTTCAAAAGGCCAAAACCTATTCCTGAAAATGCTATAAAACTCAAATCTTGCATAATTAAATCCAAAGAAAAGGTAAAAGATAAATCTTGATAACTTTATTCCATTAAAGAACAGTATATGGAAAGCACTGAAACAGAATTATAGCATTATGAAAATTTATTTCTCAAATTAGAGTGGGAATATCAAGGGGTTGGAGACAAAGAAAAGTGTATATGTGTGTTTGTGAACATGTGTGTGCATGTGTGCATGTATGTGTGTGCATATGAGTGCATATGTGTCTCTATTTTGTCCTCAGGCAAGGGGAAGCCTCATCACTTAGTGCTTGAGTCCCTAGAGGGATAAAAAGCCTGATCTAAATCTTCTGTGTTGAAAACCTAGAAAGAATAGAGTTGAAAGCAGTTCAGAAGTGCTAGTGGGACTCTGCTACTCGTATATTTCCCTCACTTCAGTGTCATAAGCCCAGAAAGTGAATCCCATCTTGATGATAACCATGTAACTACTGTTCACTTTCTACCAGTAAGTTATGTGAACATGAGAATAGATGGCATCCTTTGACTACAGTGAGAAGAGAGGCAAATTCTGTTGGGGAGGCTGATCTGCAAGCTGGGGACCTTCAGGGAGGACTGGTTAGTACAGGTGTGCACGGGAAAATTCTGGAAGTAGCAGAAAGGCGTGTGAGGAGGTGGAAAATACCTTGTAAATTTCCCTTGGCTCCTAGGGACCCTGTCACTGTCCACGTGCTTTAAGAGTCTCTTTAAGCACACTTCCTTATATAACATACAAAGGGCAAGCAGGGTTCCTGTTAACCATGGATGAGAAGTTTCATATAGGAGATACTTCAAAGGGCAAAAACTCCATAATGGTAGAAAGTACGAAGAACTATCATATAAGGAGTATTCATTACACGTCCACTGCCATCATTATTACTGAAATCCATTTATGTTGAATCTTCCCCATATACCAAGCACTATTTTAAGCTTTGAACACATATTATCTCAATCCTCACAAGTGTTCAGCCAAGTAGACACTATTATTATTCCTCCTTTACAGAAGATAAAACTAAGATATAGATAAGAAAGTCACTTGTTCAGGGACAGAGGGTCCTATCCCAGAGATTTGACATCCATGACTGCAAATGACTTAAGAGCTTCATTCAAAAGATTGGTGAGATTGGTGTAGACTCCTTACTGCACACCAGATTTGGTGAGGCTGAGGGAGGGGAGTCAAATAGTGACAAAGCAAACATGTGATTCTAATGGCACCAAGGATGCTGAAGGGCAGTTTGAAGCATAATGATAGCACCTGTGTAGACGACTGGGTCTCATTTCGTTTTACTTTCACCGTACTCCTAGTCTTACTTTCTATAGGGACAGAGAAGAACACTGTTGAGGCAGCTGACTGAAGACAAACTTCTCAGATACTCCTTAATTGTGAATGCATTATTTCACTCTGAGGTAAGTCATATTTTAATTGCCACTAGCAAATTATTTAGCTTGGAAGCCTATGTGGCAATTATGTGCACATTAAAAGTTCCAGAATATTAATTTTACCTTAGCTCAGTTATACTTTTTCATCTACAGATTTCCTACTGCATATGCAACAGAGCTGGGCACTGTAGTGGCCAGTCACTTGAGCAGGCTGGCAAGAGATGACCCACCAGGCAGTCCACACTTAGTTTGGGACTCAGAGTTATTCTTTAGTTTTCATCTGCTTGTGGAATGCAAACTTTGGCTTTACCAACTGTGTTTATTTCTGTTCAAAGCACTGGAAATAAAAGGTTTGTGCAGACGTTTTAAGGGACCCTATAGACTATTCACAAACTTTTGTGGTCAGTGTAGCCACCAGAGTCAGAAGCAGTGAGTCACTCTAAACTGAGTGCTGCCGCTTCTTAAAATATTGTTTTGGTCTTGTCCTCAGGAAAGTTGGTACGCTCATCGAAAACACTGGTGGGTGGAGAAAGGAGATACCGAGCATAGGTGGAAACACGTGAAATAGTCTCTGTGGCCAAATTTCATTCCAACTATCCTGGTTATTTTTAAGACTGTGCTTGACCCAAGAAGAAATGTAATCTAGAGACATCTCATATTGGTGTATGTGGTCAAAAGCATCACTTCTATGAAAGAGAAGCTGAGGTTGTGAGAGATGAAGTAGTAAGACCAATGTTAGCAGTTTGAGGGTAGTAAGGATGTGCTTAGAAATAACTCCACTTGTCTAAGAGCTACAATCTGTCACTCGTTAACTTTATTCCTTGCTGAATGTTAGACATACTCTTAATTTCTTTTGATGTTATTGTTTCTTCTCCCATTTTTATACCTTGGATGTGGTGACTCTGGCACCTCAGGTGGCGTGAGTTACCCCATCAGCCATGGCTTGCAGCTACCACCCGAGGAAGTATTAGTTATATAACTGCTCTGTTTTCCTCCGGTCACAGAGCTTTGAAGAGTTTTGAGCAGTTTTTAACAGGTATAGCCAGCAGCATTAAATAGCTTCATAAACTGAAGAAATTTTATGACACATTAACATATATGAAAAGACTGCCTATGTGTGCATTTGATGGTAATAAAATGTGAGAAATATGGGAGCGAACTATTCCAGCAGTCAGGTCAGGAGAAATCACTTCTGTTCTGTGTGACTGGGGAGACTCAAGGAGAAGGGAGAGTGTCAAGCATGAAGTAGGCAGCAGGGGGACTTTGTGAATGCAGTCACCATGGGAAAGCTAGCGGGGGTAAACCCTTAAAACTTGTGCTGTCCAATATTGTAGTCACTTTGCCACACGAGGCTATTTAAATCTAAATTATTGAAATACATTAGGGGGGCTGGGGAGATAGCTCAGCTGCCTAAGTGTCTGCCAGGCAAGCACAAGGTCCTGAGTTTGATCTCTGGTACCACAAAGAAAGAAAGAGAGAAAGAAAGAAAGAAAGAAAGAAAGAAAGAAAGAAAGAAAGAAAGAAAGAAAAGAAAAAAAAAGTAGTATTTAAAATTTCAGTTCCTCTGTTCCGTAAGCCACCTTCAGCCAGTGGCTGCTGCGCAGACGTGCGCCCCCTGCAGCACTGCAGGAAGTTCTTTTGCACAGCAGTAGCAGCAGCAGCAGCAGCATAGAAGGAAAGGTGGACAGGTGGGAGGGAGGCATAAGGTGGTGGCTACGGCTAGATGTACGTGTCTTCCCAAATCAGGTGCCGAGATTCTGACCCTTTAGCTGATGATACTGGAGGGGTGGGGGTGGTGGTGACTGAGACGGAGGGGTACCGTGATGAATGCGATTAGTGCCCTCATAAAAATGCCCCAGAGAGCTCGCTCCATTTCTCCCCGGAGTCGACAGAAGGTAGTCTACGAACCAGAAAACAATCTTTAGCAGGTTCTGAATCTTCTTGATACCTTAACCGTGGGCTTTCCAGCCTCAGGAACTGGGAGGAATAAGTATTCACGGCTTCATCCACCCGGTGGATAGTATCTTTGTTGTAGGGACTCAAACAGAATTGGACAGAAATATTTACCAATAACAGATGGAGTAAGTAAAGGGAACAGGGAGACGGGATGCACAGGCAGGTCCCAGGAGAAGGCCCTGGGAGCATTCCACTACTCAAGTTGCAGATCGCACGGCGGGACACTCAGATGAGGTGGAGGTGGGATGGGCATGGTACTCTGGGATTCCTGCTGCTTTGTCAACCTAAAACATCTCTCAAAAACGAAAGTTGATTCATTACCAGTGAAAATGAACTGTTGTCCCCAAGTATTTTTAGAGACTCTAAGAATTTTCACTTTCACACAGTGACATGATAATAAAACACATCACTGTGATTCAGTTGATAATCTAACTTAACTATATGTGTTTACACAAATATTTCACATATTAGGGGGAAAAAACCAATGTACCTTTCTCCAGTTGTCCACAGCACAGCACCAGGCCCTCATCCTGGGGAGCAGAGTGGATGCTGGGTTTCCATCTCCACTTGCCTCCTTGCTCAGAAGTCTTTGTGCAGCTCACAGACTGAACAACTGTACACAGTGGTTCTGCTGGGACCTGATCCATTACTACTGTAGGTCCCCAAATAAGAGCAGTTGTGGTTACAATGAATGGGGGAAAAGGATAAGCATCTCTGCAGGGTGTCAAGGACTGAGTAGAGGAAGTTTGACTGAGAACATGTAAATCGCATGAGAAATTCTGGGAGTAAAGAGCCAAAGTCAGAGCCCTCAGAACTGGCGTTAAAGTAGAGGCAAAAAGCCACCTAAAGGAATAGAGTCAACACCTGGGAGAAAGGAGGCACATCAAAGCAACGCTCACCTGGAAAGCCAGCTCAGCAAGGTAGCAGGTCCTCATCTGAGCCAGTCAGGAGTTGCTGGTGGTCGTGGTGAGCTCAGTTCTGTGCAGCACAGGCTGCTGCCTGGCCTCAGGGCCAGGCTCTGAGGGAGGACAAGAGTTGGAGTAGTGCAGGCTGGGAGGCTGGCTGTATATATAAGGCTCAGCCCAAGGGTTGGAGGGAAAGAGGAGAAGGGGAACGCATCCCAGCAATGCCTGGAATGCATCAGCTGTGCAAAGCAAAACTCCTGGGAAAACCGCACGTGTCTTGCACTGCGGCTCAAGGAAGTGGCAATGGGATAAAGAGTTTTCGCTTCTAAACCAGGTTTGAGCCCATCCCAGCGTTGGAGTTAGGGACCCGCATCTGACGTCAGGGTGAAAGGAATTAAAGGGCCTGCCTAAACTTCTAGGATCGGAGGAATCTTGAAAAGAGCCAGTAGGTAATCTGAGTAGCCAGCTTCACCGAATGCCTGGGCAGGGGAGCTGAACTGGCTAGGTTTTCGCCACTAAGGGAGACTTTCCGGAGCAGAACTGAATTTGTGGAAAATTCCATTATTCCTTTTCAATAGGCTGGTGCTTTCTCGAGCCTGGTGTTTAAACCACCTGCGCCGAAATCGCCACAGATTTCCTGCAGACTTCTCAGATCTGCTAGCAACCCAGGGACTCTGCGCCTCTGGGCATCAGGCCAGAGAGCCTGTGTCCTAACCAGCTTCCTACATGCTCTTTCTGTACCTACACAGTGAAGTCAGGATAGGGAAGGAGAGCAGTGGTTCTCAAGTTTGGGGTGGGGGCATCCCACTTCCAGGGCTTGTTAGCATGCAGATTACAGGGTTCCAAACTACAATTTTCTCCATTTAGTACCTGGGGTGGTGTCTGAGTACATTTCTAACAAGTTCCCTATGATCCTGTAGATCGGGGTCTACACAATGACATCAGATGAGAATTTCTTTTTACCTACAGTTTCTTAAAACTCAGAAGTGTAAAATCCCCCTTCTCATTCATCCCACAAATGAGCCGGCCTTCACCGCCCAGTTATTCAGATGACTAACACCCCTGACCTCTTTTTCACCTTGTTAGATAACTCTGGTGTGGTCTTGAATTGACAATAGCAAAAGGGATTTCACCTGACCAGCACTAATCTTGTATATTGTTCTGGCTCTAATGTTTATGTTATCATCAACATTGTCCTTCCTTTGTGTTTGACGGTAATCTGCTCTATATCACGGCAGCTTGGGCTCACTGCAGGTAGCCTCCACCTTTGCTTGTCACAAGAGATAGCATGAGAAAAAAAGACTACAAGAAAAAAAAAGAAAGAAAGACAGAGAGAGAAGCCTGAAAATATTCTGAGTTTTAGCAAGTGTTATTCTCAGGGGGCGTTCTGGGACAGGATGTCTCCAGCATTAGCTAGAGGAAGCCCAGCTTTTGATAAACACGATTCTGCCTTGTGCAGATCAAAGAGAGCCATTTATTCAAGGAAAGGATGGAAGCATTTGATGAGGTCCTTCTGGAGACTCCCCATAAACAGGATAAACTATCAAGGAAAGCTCAGTCTGCAGCCAGGCTGTAGTCACCGGGAACAATGGAGCAGGGAGAGCAGAGGGTGGCGAGGAAAGAGCCTGCGACCTGAGGAGATGGTTCTGCCAAGAGAATGGTCGTAAACAGGATTAGCTGTAATGAGATTATCAACTCAGGACCTGACGTCTTGTGTTGGGACATCAGTGCTGCGGAAAGCAAAGATGCAGAAGTAGCCGCTAGGTGAGAGGATTACAAAGCAGGGGGCAAGGGCATTCTCTTCCGAGCTTCCCTCCCCACTCCAAGGATAAGAGTGGCCAGAACTGCAGGCGTTGCTTTGTTAGAGTGGAAACATGAGGGGCTTTAAGGTAGTGATTCTCAGTTAGACACTGTTGGGATGTGGGAAAGTTTTTGGTGGTTACCTCCAGGCAAGAGGACGCTATTAGCATCCAAAAGCACAGACCAAGGATGCTGCTTAGTGCCCTGTGACACACAGATTGACTTCGCCCAACAAAGACCTCTCTGGCCCAAATTCCAAGGCAGAGAACCTCTGCCTTCAAATGATACCAGATCCTGGTAGGACACTGAGGACAAGCTGGGTACTAAGCGAGGCAACAGGTGGAGAGGAAACTGGTCGGCATTCCTTGGGCTCAGTCCAGGGGGTGTTGTCACATTATCATCCCCAGAAAGTCAAAACTTTTTAGGTGGAGGTGATCATTTAAAAATAAAACCTATTTATTTTATTAAATACAGCTATACACAAATGGGTAGATAGTATCTCCGTGGTATTAAAACTTCATGGGAGCACGAAGGCAGTAGCTCTGAGTTAAGGTGCTTCCCCAGCATTTGAAAGGCCCTGGGTTTGACCCACAGCACAGGAAAAAGAAAGGGAAAATCACAGGGCGTGGTGGGGAAAGAGTGTCTACAGAAGCTCCTTAGAGGGGCAGCATTGCAAAACTGGGAGGCACACTGCTTCTTCTGGAGGAATCGAGGTACGCCCACTTCCTCCAGTTGCACTCAAGGTCTGCGTGGTGGGCTCGTCCTAACAGATAAATCTGCGTTGGTGACTACAGATCTTCACGCTGGTTTCTAATAGCTTTCAGGACAAAGCAGTGAAGTCTTTCTCCTTGAAGGCATGCTTTCTTTTTTTTATCTTTTATTTTATTTATTTATTTTTTATTTTGAAGGCGCACTTTCAAGGTGGCTTGCTCCACAACATCCAGCACCCTCAGTGTCTGCCACACTGAACAATTTACAGGCCACTTCCCACCCACCAGACTCTCTCCTCTGCAGGCCTAGAAGGACCTCTCCTGTCCCTCCCCTGACACTTCTTTAGAACTAGCTTCTGTCTACCCAGCTCTGTTCCCTGGGTTGTTTGCCTTTCTCTAGAACGGAACCTAGCTCAATCCTGGAGTAGCCCGGTTTTCAGCTTGCTCAGACAGTCCACTTACTGGCTCAGGAGTTCCTAGCACTTTTGTGCCTAGCAGAACTCCTGATGCACACCAGACCCATCAGAAATATTTAGAAAAGCCTAAGAGGGTTTGTACTTGGTTATGCTTTGTGTCCAGATGTCCACCTAAAGCCCCAACAGTCACAAGGTGGTAGGCTTTATAGAGACAGCTGAATCTAGAGTTTGTAATTGATTCATAGTCTACTGCTAGAATTAAGGGGGTGACTGCTACACCCACTCTAGGGCAGGTAGTCTGTGTACCATATAAGTGACAAAAAGAGGCTTGCATGCATTCTCCCTCACTTTACTACAATCTTCCCACCATGAGTTCTGTTCTGCCAAACCACTCTGCCTTGGAGGAGGTGATTATGGACTGAAACTTGCACAAACTGTGAGCTAAATAAACCTTTTTTCCTTTAACTTCAAGCATTGGTATTTGGTCTTAGCAATGAGAAAAAAGTAACTAGACACACCCACTATCTTACGTCATTCCCTCCGCCCTGAAAGACAGTCATAAGTATCCTTGTGTCATAGGCAAGTGCGTGGATCCCTCAAATAAGGAATCATATGGCCCCTTTCATGCCCCTTTTGTAACCTGAAGCTTATCTAGAATCTGGCCAGGGGAGATAAGTTGGTCAGTTCCCCTCAATTTCATTTTTATGTATCTTGGTATGATTTTATTTAAATGTCTTTGCAAAAGGTTCATTTTTCTTGGAAATGTGGTATTATAAGTTGAACTAAATTTAGAAATTTTAAATCTTTAAATATTTATTGCCTACGCCTTTCTACTTTGAGAATTCTAATTATATGAATGTAAGTTTCTTGGTTTTGACACAGTGAACTATTATGACTGATCTGTAAATTCTTTCTTCATTTTTATTGTGGACAATTTTATTGTTATATTCATTTATGTTTGTAAATAACTTATTTCAATTTGCAATCTATTAAAAAATTAAAAAAAATACAAGAAACTTGCAGAAAGAGCTTAGCACAGAAATGTTTCACAGGAAGGAAAAAAGGAGTGAGGTAAAGCCAGAAAGTGAGTTAGAGATAAGAGTTTTATCTATATACTACAAGGCTCTGGGCAAGAAACCAAAGGTCATAAAGTATCTCCAGGAAACATGACTGGAAGACCATTGACTTCAAGACCTGAAGCTAACATCAGCATTTTCAGCAAAGTGGTCCCCAGTTGGACTTCAGTTTTGGAACCAAGACTGAAGTAATCCCTAATTCAGTCACAGAATCCATAGTGTAGAGCAAAAGCTGCTAAATTGGAAGCCGTCAGTTGCAGGGAGAACTGTGGTTCTGGAGGTCAGAGGGATGACCCAGACTTGAAGCATTGCTCAGAAGTCACCATCGGTGTGTAGGGCTTGTGTCACAGGTGGTCACAGGGGGTCTGTGGAATTGTGATGAAGTTAGGGAATAAAACACCATGTGAGAATGGGGCTGAGTGGAGATAATGCTGAACAGTTCTACAATGTCCTGTGTATTTTCATTTAGCTCTTCTCAATTAGACTGTAGACTCCTTGGCCCTGGGGGCAGCTTTGGAAACTTCTTCTTTTCTCTTTCAGTGCTTTGAAACTAGGAGGTGCTCAAATTTTCATTAATGGTCCTCCATCAACAAACTTTTGGAAAGAGCTCTCGCTTTGCCTGCATGACCTTTACTTTTAACTACAGTGAATCCCTGACTTATTAAGTTCATAATGTTCGAATTGTGAACTTCCCCAGATACAATGGGCCTTGAGCTAGGGACATTTGTAGATGCAACCAAATCCCAGAAGTAGCTCACACGTGTGCCAGTTGATGTGAAAGTTGTGCTGCTGCTGCATGTTTGCTGTATAGTATGAGAGCATATAGTATTTGTGTGTGCATCTGATTTTTTTATACCTTATGTAGTATATTTGTGTCAAGGGTGTATAACATTTGCTTTGTTGGACTATCAAATGAATCCAATTTCAAATGAATCTCCTGGAATGAAACTCATTTGTACATTGGGACTTAATGTACTAGGTTCTGCTGTCAAATGACTGGAACATTTCTTTAACAAATTGTCTATAACTTCTGTTGTTCAGTCCACTGGGCCTGTTCTTGGGTACCTTTTGCAGTGTCTGTGCCCTTCTGGTCTCTGGGAACCTGCCCTTCACTTCACAGCTATCACTCT